AATGGCAGAAAGCTGTACCTTCACATTCCCTGGTCATATGAGTGCTTTTATCAAAGTTTAAAATTCTGCATGTAGTCTGGTTGATTCGATTAGTAATAACCAAATCAAATCACTTTTTAGTTTTTGAAGTTTAATATTTTTATTCATTCATCCTCTTTTCCAATTTAGGGTCCATGGGGGGTGTGGAGCCTATCCCAGCTGTCTTAGGGCGAGAGGCAGGTACCCATCCAAATCATTGGATCATGTGCTCCAATCACTTCCATGACCACAGGTGTATAACAAATGCACTTAGACATGCAGACTGCTTCTACAAATATTTTAGATTAGCTCAAGAACAGTGTGTAGGATGGCTTTTCATAGCTGAGCAGCTGTATACAAGCCTTTCATCACTGAACTCAATACAAAGTCTGGGATGGAACCACTGGACTCTAGAGCTGTGGAGACGTGTTCTCTGGAGCAATGAATCACTTTCCTGTCTGCCAATCTGATGGACGAGTCCACCAGTGCACAAAGAGAGGGCCATAAAGACATGGATCAGTCTGGTGTGGAAGAACTCGACTGGCCTGCAGAGCCAATATTAAACCCCACGGATTAAGAACGGGAGTTTACTCAAATTCATGTGTTTGAAGGCAGATAAGTGAATACGTTTAGCAATATAGTGTATATTTGGATGCCCCTACTGCTGCATTGCATTAAAACCTTTCTACAAAATTAAAGCAAGTAGCATTTTTCATTAAACAGGAGCCCCAACACAACCCGGTGACACAAATCAAACACACCATGCAATCAATAAAAACAAACTTTATTTTTAAAGGTATAAACTGAACAGCCAAAGAAATATTTACAGGACAGCACAAAACACAAACAAGTGGATTTAATAATACACCCAGAAGCTAAGAGCAAATACTATTAAAACTAGACTTGTATACCAGCTTTTTTTTCCTTCTCTTTGAAATAATACGATTCTTTTTTCTTTAAATAAACAATGGTGAATTTTTGTTTGTCTTTTTTTTTTAAATTTAAAAGTTACAGATTGCTGGTCCAAGGTCCATATATGAGGCGAGTGTAAATGCAGCTAAACTTCAACAGATAAAATGAGTGCAATATTACCTGCATGGCACACTACATGACTCATGTTTTCGAAACAACAACTTGGGAACCATTATTTAAAAATCTGAATCTGAATCCGAATCCAGGTTGTAGGTGATGGGTTTCCGGGCCCGTGAGGGTTTATCCCGTGGTGCTGCAGCTACAGGAGCGGCTTCTTCAGGGTCTGAAACCTGGAAACTCTCATCCTCTTCCCACTTCTTGCTCTTCTGTAGCAGAAAAGGAGATTAAAAGGATTAACAGTGATTATATTAGCACAGGATGGATACAGGAAACCTTTAAAATCTAAACATGTGTAGCAGAGAATCATTTGTTCTACTTAAGTCAGTAGTTTTATTTCAAATGTCACCATTTAAAAAAAGCTACTTTTACTCTTTTAATAGCTTCATTGTTGAGCCACTTTTTCGTGGTCAGAGTTTATAGTATTTCATTTTATATTTAGAGTTTTACTTCCTGAGGTTGGGCTACTGTACTGCAGGAATATGCCAACTTCTGAAATACTTGAATCACATCTTATGACATAACACAAAGAAAACGAGTGTTCAGTATAAAAACTGACCTTGGTGCCAGCAGTCGTCTTGGATTTGAGGCGTG